CGATAGAAACATGGAATGTTTCTATCGGGTTAACTTTTGAGCTTTGAGCCTCTAGAAAGAAATTATCGTCAGTGAAGTAAATTCCATGCTTTCTGAAAATGGTATCGGCGCAGACTAATAAGATTTCTTTTCTTTTTTTTTTTTAGTTTAATTATATTTTAATTGGAATTTTTTTATTATTTGAAACAGATTGAAGTGCAAAACATTGTATTTTATCTTGTGTTTGTAGACAGGTATAAAAATCTAATTATAAATGACTAAAATCGCACTGCAATGAAACAGTGACCGACCCACAATTTAACCCAATGGGTCATTGCAACATTTTAAAGGATTTCACACTTTACCAGAAGATCTAATCACGTGGCTAAGTAAAAAAAAAAAAAGTTAAAGATATTAAAATAAAAAAAATATATGAGTGGGAATTCAGCCACAGAAGCTGGAAAGAAACATGACAAGTGAGGATAGAGAGAGAGAAAGAAAGAGAGAGAGGAGGGAGGGAGAAAGAGAGAGTGAGGGAGAGAGACCGGTAAAGGAGAGGAACAGAAAAAGGTGTCATGCAGAAGAGAAAAAAGAGACGTTAAAGGAGAGGAGGAGAAAAAGTGTCATGTGAGAGGGAAGAAGAAGAAGAGAGAGAGGGCAAAGGAGAAGAGAAAAAAAATATCATGTGAAGAGTAGAAGAAAAAGACGACAAAAGGTGTCATGTGAAAGAGAGAGAGAGAGAGAGGGAGGGAGGGAGGGAGAAGCAGAGAAAACAATGTCACGTAGAAGAGAAAAAGAAGGCGACGGCAGAGGAGAAGTAGAGAAGAAAATGTTACGTGAAAGAGAGAAAGAAAAACACGACGACAAAGGAGAAAAAGAGAGAAAAAAAGAGTCACTTGGAAGAGAAGAAAGAGAAGGGAAACGGAGAAAAAGAGAAATTATTTAAGGAGAAGAGGAAAAAGTGTTATATTGGGGAGAAGAAGAAAGAGGCGGTAAAGTTGAAGAGAAAAAGAGAGACGACAAAAAGTGTCATGTGAGAGAGAAGAGACAGAGAAAGAGAGAGATGGCAGAGGAGAAGAAGAAGGAAAAGTGTCACGTGGAAGAGAAGAAGAAAGAAAATGTCAAAGAAGAAGATAAAAAGTATCAGGTGGAAGAGAAGAAGAAAGAGATGGCTGAGGAGAAGAAGAGAAAAAGGTGTCATGTCGGAGGGAAGGAGAAGAGAGAACGAAGAAAAAAATGTTTAAGAAAAAAGAGACAAAGAAAAATGTTTTAGCACAAATGGGGAAGGGTTGAAGCAAACAAAGAGAAAATGAAGATAGATGAAAAAGTTGACGGGAAAAAAGAAGAAGTAAAGAAACAGGATGAAAAGTATTGGCTGAAAGTTTTATATTACTGCCGCAGAATGAAAATATATTTAACCTTTAACTTCCAGCAGGTATTTCTTTTACGTGCTTATCACGGATTTTACATAGACTTAAATTTTAATCTGTCTGTCTAACTCTTTAACGATATTTCCGTCAGCTGACTATCTGCAATGGAATGCTAGTTTTCTCAGTTTCCAATCGTACCTGCCCACCATTTACCTGAATTTGATTGATATTTATTTCCATCTGTTGCAAAAGATTCTCACGCTGAAGCAGAATATTTCAAGATGAATCTAATATATAAAGAATTCTCTGCTTGTGTAATACAGAAGGAATTAGCGATGCATTTGTGTCAGACAGGGAAAATCTTGTGAAAGGCAACTAAAAAAGGACAGACGACATTAATGAAAGCGGCGCAAAAAAGTGAAAAGAAGGATGTGAAGAAGCGATGGAAAACGGCGAAGAAGAAAGGAGGGAAAAAAAAGGTGGAAAAGAGAGAAAAAAAAGGTAAAAAGAAAGGGGAAAGAGAGAGGCGAAAAAAAAAAAAGAGGCGGGGAAAAGAGAGAGAAAAAAAAAAAAAAGAGAGAGGCGAAAAAAAAAGAGGGGAAAAAGAGGCGGAAAAAGAAATGAGAAAAAAGAGAGGCGAAAAAAAAGAAAGGTGGAGAGAGAGGTGAAAAAAAGGGGAAAAGAGAGAGGCGAAAAAGAAAGGTGGAAAGAGAGAGACGAAAAAAAAGGGAAAAGAGAGAGGTAAAAAAGAAAGGGGAAAAGAGAGAGGCGAAAAAAATGGACGAAGAGAGAGGTGAAAAAAGGAGAAAAGAGGCGGAAAGAAATGAGAGAAAAAGAGAGAGGCGAAAAGAAAGGTGGAAAGAGAGAGGTGCAAAAGGGGAAAAGAGAGAGGCGAAAAAGAAAGGTGGAAAGAGAGAGACGAAAAAAAAGGGGAAAAGAGAGAGGTAAAAAAGAAAGGGGAAAAGAGAGAGGCGAAAAGAAAGGTGGAAAGGGGAGAGGTGAAAAAAAAGGGGAAAGAGAGAGACGAAAAAAAAAAAAGAAAGGTGGAAAGAGAGAGGCGAAAAAGAAAAGGGAAAAGAGGGAGGTAAAAAAGAAAGGGGAAAAGAGAGAGGCGAAAAAATGGGAAAAGAGAGAGGTAAAAAAGAAAGAAAAAAAGAGAGAGGTGAAAAAAAGGAGAAAAGAGGCGGAAAGAAATGATGAAGAAAAGAGAGGCGAAAAGAAAGGTGGAAAGAGAGAGGTGCAAAAGGGGAAAAGAGAGAGGCGAAAAAGAAAGGTGGAAAGAGAGAGACGAAAAAAAAGGGGAAAAGAGAGAGGTAAAAAAGAAAGGGGAAATGAGAGAGGCGAAAAGAAAGGTGGAAAGGGAGAGGTGCAAAAGGGGAAAAGAGAGAGGCGAAAAAGAAAGGGGCAAAAAAAGAGAGAGGCGAAAAGAAAGGTGGAAAAAGGAGAGGGGAAAAAAGAGGGGGGAAAAGAGAGGCGAGGTGGGTGGAAAGGTGTGGAAAAAGAGAGGCGAAAAAGAAAGGTGGAAAGAGAGAGGCGAAAAAGAAAAGGGAAAAGAGAGAGGTAAAAAAGAAAGGGGAAAAGAGAGAGGCGAAAAAAATGGACGAAGAGAGAGGTGAAAAAAGGAGAAAAGAGGCGGAAAGAAATGAGAGAAAAAGAGAGAGGCGAAAAGAAAGGTGGAAAGAGAGACGAAAAAAAGAAAAGGGTAAAAAAGAGAGGCGAAAAGAAAGAAAGGGGAAAAGAGAGAGTCGAAAAAAAAGGGACGAAGAGAGAGGTGAAAAGAAAGGGAAAAGAGAGAGGCGAAAAAAAGAAAGGCGGAAAGAAATGAAAAAAGAGAGAGGCGAAAAAAAGGGAAAAAAAAGAAAGAAAAAAAAAAGAGGCGAAAAAAAGAAAGAGGGAAAAAGAAAGAAAAGAAATGAGAGAAAAAGAGAGAGGCGAAAAAGGAAGGAACGAAACGAGGAAGGCGAAAAAGTAAGGCAGGAAAAGTGAAAGAGGCAAAAATAAAGTGGGGAGGAGGGGAAAAAAAGAAGGGAAAATGATAACGGTGAAAAATAAAGAGAGACGAAAAAGGATGGGAAAGAGAAAGACCAAAAAGAAGATGGAAAAAGAAAGAAGTCCTCTCCCCCACAAAAAAGGGTCGAAAAAGAAAGAGAGAGGCGAAAAAAGAATAGAAGTGGAGAGAGAAGCGAAAAAGAAAGAGTAAGAGAGAGAGAGGCGAAAAAGGAGTTCAAAGAGAGGCGAAAAAGAAGGGGTGAGAAAGAGAAGCGAAAAAGGAGGAGGAAAGTAAGAGAGACGAAAAAGAAGGGGTGAGAAAGAAAGAAAGGCGAAAAAAGGGAAACGAAAAAAAGAAAGATGAAAAAGAAGAGGGAAAAGAAAGAAAGAGGCGAAGAATAAATGAAACAAGAAGTAAAAAGCGAAAAAGCCGAGGAAAGAAAGAGTCCGGACATTATTAACTTCAGCTACATATTCATTTCGATGATAAAAACTGAATATGAAGCGTTCAACACTTTTAAACTATAAAACTTGATGCTTTATATTAAATCAAAGTTTTCAGAACAGAAATTTGGTTCAGAAAACATGCTGAAGTTTGAACTCAACACATTTTCATGACCAAGTCCTTACAATTTGTCCTCCAGAAGTACGACTGAAGTGCCCTATGAGAAAAGTGCTCGACCATAATTTATTCAGTCAGTTATGTGTCATGCGCTTAGGCGATCATGTATCTTTCGATACATGACTGACGAGTAGACCAGTTGCCATCCCCAGAACCTGTTCTGTCAATTACTCATAGCTTTGAGAAGAAGATTCATACCTTTCCCAAGGGTATGAGCACATAAGTGAATGTAATGGATTCAACTGGAATTCGAACTCGGCTCTCAGATTTCTCAATCCAAGCCGCTATCCATTACTCCACCGTGTACAAATTCAAATTCAGCATAAGTTTCAGCAGAAACATTTTCATTGTCGGCAAAGATGGTGGGCACGAAGGAAATGGATTGGCAAAAGAAAGAAAAAAAAAAAAGAAAAGAAAAAAGAAAATGAAAAATGCATCTAGTGCAAATAATCAACTTTCATGAATGTAATTTTCCGTAAATTCGACTTCAGCATTAGTTTTGGCACATGGCTAAAAGGTACGGCACCACTTCAGTGTGTCAGAAAAACAAAAACAAAAAAACAAACACCAAAGACCAAAAACAAAAGAGGTCCAATTATTGGAACCATTAATTTAGTAAATTTAGAAAGCGACGCTATCCAATTCTGTTAATAACTCAACTCTCTTCAAAAATAATAACAATCGCTTTCCATTTGCAGCATTTGAGTAATTACCAAGTCATTGCGTATTTTAAAGCTAGCTAGATAGATAGATAATTATATAGATAGATAGATAAATAGAGAGATAGAGAGAGAGAGAGACAAAAAGAGAGGGAAAGAATGAAAAAGGCAGGCGATGGGGAAGTGCGAAGAAAATATAGGAAATTTGAGAAGATGAGAAAATGGTAAGAAGGATAAAGAGGGTGAAGAAGAAAAGAAGCGAACGCAAAAGCGGAAGAAAAAGGAAAAGCGTTACAAAACAATATTTAATCGAAGAAAGAAGAAAGCATAGTGGATGTATGGAAAGAGGAGAGAAATATAAGAGAAGGATTTAAGTATATGCTAAAGAAGATAGGGAGAAGGTTGAGCTGGAGAGAGAGAGAGAGAGAGAAGGGAAGAGAGGGAGAGATGGGGAGAGAGAGAGAGAACCAGCGCTGGGAAAAAGGAAAAGAAAGAAAAGAAGAGAATTGTGCTAATATATATATATATATATATATATATATATATATATATATATATATATATGTATATATATATATATACACTTTCAGTGGTTCCCAGACTGCATGAATTTAAAAGGAGCTACCAGGCTGGCATCTGGGTCCCAGCCTTTCACTATCAAAACGGTTTAAATGTAACCGTCTCTTCTACTCAAACAACTTCTTCTCTCGCACTTCCTGTCTGTGGAACTCCTTCCCTTACTTGCTTCCCTGATGACTATAATCTTCAAATATTTACGTGTAATGTCAATCGACATCTGACACACTGAGCTTGTTCCCTGTCCTTTTCTGTATCCTTTCCTCAAACACGCCTCTTTACTCTTGTTCTCAATCCTCTGTAACCCCTTGCGTGCTAGTGGCACTCCCGCCTTACTTGGGGTGAATTGCTTTTAATATATATATATATATATATATGGTGCGATGGGTAAATTGGCGCCATTTTATATTTTTAATTCCGCGCATGCGAGTTGTTTGTTTTTGATTTTGTCGACGGCAAAGTGTAGTAGGGTCAGTTGGGCACCATCTGTGAGAAAAAGACCAGCATGGCACAATTCACCCAGCCAGAAACTTGGAAACGGCATCCTGTACTGCTTGGCATTCGCGCCGGAAGCTCCAACATGAACATATCAAAATGTTTGGGTGACAATATGAGGACAGTGCCGAGGATTAGGAAAGAATTGGATGTGTCAAATGGAACTGTAGCTCGGAAAACTCACTCTGGTCGTTCTGATAAAAAAAAGAACTCACAAATTTGATTGACAACCATCCCTCTAAGTCACTCAGGTTCATAGTCAGGGACATAGGAGTGTCTGAGTTTCTTATCAGGCAGGTAATGCATGAAGACATTCGTTATTTCTCATACAATATAAGAAAGGACCAATTTTTATCCCAAGCCATGTAGAACAAACGGAAAGTCCGCGCTACAAAGCTTTTGAACAAACTCAAGTATCCCTTCCAATTGAACATGCTTTATTTTTTTCTTAGACGTGAAAAGAATTCTACTCGTATAAGATGGTGAACACACAGAACAACCGTTGACTTGCCGTCTTTCCAAAAGATGTACCGAGTGTGATGAAAACCGAGAGTGATATCCAGTCAACATCATGGTGTTTGGAGTGATCTCTAGTGGTTTGGTTTAGTTTATTTTGTTTTACGGCATATCAACCTCAATGGGTTATTTAATGCCGACAACATTTTTAGGATAGATTCGTATGAATAGAATATGCATTCTTTGGTTTAGATTGGTTTGGATTATTTTGTTTTACAGCATATCAACCTCAATGGTTTATTTAATGCCGACAAAATTTTTTTATTGCTGGTAATATTTTGTTTTGTCAAAAATCTGTTTCTGGTAATATTTTTCCTTCAAAATTGTATTGCTCTAATAATTTTTTTCAAAAAACTATTGCTGGTAATAGTTAAATATTTGCCCATAGCTGGGACCCTAACAGGTGCTACCACCCCGGGCCAGGGTGGACCTGGTAACACCAGCAATTAAGAGGTGGTTCTACGCTCCTCAAAACCTGCTGATCAGAGGTCTTGCTGCTGGACGTAGTTTATCGTCTTAACCAGGACGCGAATGCAGTTTAACGTCTTACCCAGGACATTGATCACTAGTGATGCTGACGTTATGCTTCTATTAATCTTTCCACAGGGTCCAGACTCAACACGGAGGCATACATCAAGTACCTTCAGGAGGTAATGCTGTCCTGGGTCAAGAGAGTGGCTGCTGGAAGACCCTATGTCTGGAAAGAAGACTCTACACTAAGAACGACACCATTAGAACCAGTCATGGTTGTCAGACAATTTCCGTGATCATATCACATCTTATATCTGGTCATCTAACACTCAGGACTGCAACCCCCTTGATTATTATGTGAGGGTTACAGTTGAGTGAGCGACCAACAAAATTGCTTGTAACACTAAAGATGAACTGAAGGCAAGGATTATGGCAGCATTCACCAACTTAAACAAGGTGACCGTCCAGAAGAGTTGTAGGAGATTCCGAAGTCGTGTGGAGGCTGTGGTTGAATCCAATGGTGATTTTATAGAATAAATTTAGTCTTTCGAATTTCAAGATATTTTTGTGTAATTTTGGTAAATATATCTTAAAATGAGATGTCAGTGTTATTTTATTTTTTACGTAATATACACTCATATATATATATATATATATATATATATATATATATATGTGTGTGTGTGTGTGTGTGTGTGTGAGAGAGAGACAGAGAGATAGGAGGAAGAGAGCGAAATATAATAGATGAGGAAGACAATTTGAAAATGAAGAAAGATGAGACAATAATTAGCGAAAAAAGAAAAAATGGAAGAAGATGGTTAGAAAAAATATGAAAAATTGAAAGTAAACTGAAACAAAAATACAAAATGGAGGTTCAAAGGTCAAAGGAGACATCGCCATATTTTAGAATAGGATAGAAATAAGTAAATAATTTGTAATGCGTATATAATTAATATTAAAATTCATTATTAATACTAATACTACATTTAATAATTAACAAGCCAGAAAAAAGAAAAGAGAAGAAAAAGGGAATGAAAGAAAAGCGAAGAGCAAGAGAAAAAAGTGAAGAAGAGAAGGAAAAACGATGAAGAAGAGAAAGACAGAAAAGCGAAGAAGAGAAAGAAAAGCAAATAATAGAAAGAATAGCGGACAAAAAGAGAAAGAAAGAAAAGCGAAAAAGAGGAGCAAGAAGAGTGAAGAAGAGAAAGAAAAGCGATGAAGAAGAGAAAGAAAAGCGAAGAGAGACAGAAAAGTAAAGAAGAAAAAGAGTAACAGAAAAGTAAAGAAGAAGAGAAAGAGAGAGAGTTGAAAGAAGACCAGACTACTACGACGTCCGTATTTGATAATAATTGCTACAATAATAATGTTGATGATGCCAATAGTGTTGATAGTCTCCATTTTCGGAGCAATCTTTGAACGTCGTCGTTTGTAGAAGGAGCGGCCATTTTCGCTGTTCAAAGAGACCGAAGCACCAATCCCATGCGGTGAAGCGAGATCGGCACAAGGCAAACTGGTGCAACACCGTTTTCCTAATTAAATGATTGCAAACTTGCAGAGCTCGGGCCTCAACTAAGGAGACAACGGAGATGGAGTGGAGTTGGGGAGAAGGGGCGGTAACTTCGTTTTTGATGAAGTTGTTTTCTTCAGCCAACAACGGCCAACCAATTTTCAAGCTTAATCAACTAAATACACTTAAAAAAAGACAATAAAAAGGAAAAAAGAGCTTACAATAAAAACAACAACAGCAACTCCAGCAACAACAATAATAATAAAAGTAATGATAATATTTAGGAAGATCTGTGCGAATGTTGGAGAACATCGCCGTGTTTAGAACTGCAAATATAACCAAATTATTATTATCATTATTATATTTGATTATTCCAGTGTTTTGACTGGATTCTTTCTGAATGACTATTAATAAATTTCCGTTTTTGTTTATCAACTTTTATTTTCAAAAAAAAAAAAAAAAAAAAAGAGGAAAAATGTACAATTTCTCTTTGTTCAATTATATATTCGCCATTATCTGCAATGACTTGTTGCCACTTATCAGGTAGCTTTTCGAAACATTTTCGAGTAAAAATTCTGCAGGTTTTAATGTGAAACAGCCTTCGAAGAACTCTCGAATCGACTTTTCATTCAATAAAATGTCCCCGAAATCTAAGCATTTTGCAGAGATCGAAAAAGCCAATAATTGGTTAGATGAATAGGGGAGAGGGTTAGAACAAACCAACCGAGTTTCAAAATCATTTCCCCGTATTATTCTTGATATATTGGGCTTTGCGCTGTCATGAAAAAAAAAAAATCTTTTTCTTATCGACCAAACTTATGGACACATTGCAGCTGCTGGACGTATAAACGTGCATTTAATGTTTCATTGCATTTTAAGAACTCTAAATAAATAATACCCTGATGATCCCGCTATTCGTACAACATTGTCTTTCATTTATGGAGCCTCAGATTTTTGTGCCGGTTATGGAGATTGTCCTTGTCGATCCACTGCCTTTTGCGTGAAACATTGCCATATGTTAGTTACAATGATACAATCGTCATTACAACTGGATCTCGAAAATGAAAATTATTTATGAGTCTTCCTAATACAGAAGATCAAGTAAACTCTGAAATTTAAAGTATTTATTTTTAAATTAAAAAAAAAAACCCTCAGAAGTAGATAATTTCACTTACTGTCCTGTTCACACTCCTTGAAGTTTTTTGAACAGGAGTAAAGGTTTATCACTTGTTTCCTATTTAAGATTGGGTTTCTGCTTCCGTTTTTTCGTTCTCTTTCACTTCAAGTATCCCTATGCGTGTTAGTGGCGTTATCGAGGTGAATTAATTAAAAAAATGTTCTCAACTCGGTAACTTTGCTGATGATACACCGATTTAATCTTGTATTAATAATAAGTCTAATCGGTTCCATAATATCTAATCGGCACTTGAGCTAAAAAAAAAATAACCTACAATCTGTTGTTAACTGGGGCAAGAAATGGCTTGTTAATTTTAACGCCTCCAAAACAAAAATGTTATATTTTAATCGTCTGAAAGAAACTTTTTTTGCTTTCCATCAGTACGGCTAATGCTAACCACCAGGAGGCTGACTTATTACGCATTCTCGGGTTAACGTTTGCCGCTGACATGAAGTTGCTAGGTCTGTTGCTAGGAAAGTTGGTTCATTGCTAAACAATTTCCCCCGCAAAAATCTATCTTAAATATTTATAAGTCAACCATTCGTCCATGTTTAGAATATTACTGTCACAGCTGGTCTAGTCCTTCTATGCATTTAGAGATCCTTGATAAAAGACAAAGAAGAATTTGCAATGTTACGAGACCTTACCTGGCATCTCATCTTCAGTTACATTTCTACTAACGTAGCTTCCTTGTGCCTTTTCTATAAATATTTTCATTGTAACTGGTCTAATGAGCTTTCCTCTTTAATTCGTAGACTTTATGAATATAAGCGCAATACTTGATTGGCGGCAATGTCTCATCATTTTACAGTTGAAATGATTAGATGTAACCGTAAGTCCTATGCTAACAGTTTCTTCTCTCACACTTCTTGCTTGTGGAATTCTCTTCCGGCTTATTGCTTTCCAGTCAACTTTGATCTTCAAAAATTTAAATGCAATGTCAATCGTTATTTTCTATTTTCTTAATTCCTGTTCTTTTATTATTCTCTCTCCTTAATAACGTTTTCTCTTTCCCAAATTCTCTCACACTGAGTAACCACTTGCCTCTTAGTGGCTTTATTGACTTGCTTGGGGCCAAATGCTAGGGTTCATTAGAATGTTGAAATCTGCCTAATTTCATGGAATCTTTGAAACGACGTATTTTAAGAGTGCCAAGAAGAAAGCGCTATAAATTCATGATACCTGGAAATACTCAACGTCTTTTAGAAATTTGTGTTGTACAGTATTTGGTCCCCACCATTTTTTTTTCTCTGGGCCGCATTTTCGGAATGAAAATTTACTCGCATCTCACCAAATTGTATCTGGTAAAAAAAAACAAAAAAAAAAACAAAAAAAAAAAAACAGAGAGAGAGAGAGAGAGAGAGAGTTAAAGGGAGATAACTACTTATTCGAAGTCAGAACATTATCATTAATAACTCTCTCCTTCAATTTGCGGACCCTTGTTACTATATTCTTAATATTTGATATAATGCAAAAATATCATAAAATACGTCAATAATTATTTATAACTTTATACTAATACTCATGCATGCAATTATAAGTAATCCATAATAATATTTTAAATTTTGAAATAATATTTATGTTTGATATATGAATTTCTTGAAATTGTTTCTAAATCTTTTATTGTCTTTCACTCTTTCCGCCTCACCTGCCATCCTCTTTCGCTGCACCTATGTGGCACGCCGCACTGTTTGGGAACCACTGCTCTAGACTTGTCCCTTGAGATTATCCTGAATGTAGGACTTGCAGCTTAATCCGCCTGCTTCTGCTTATCATACTTGACTGCATTTCACCCATTTTACCCGACAAGAATCTGATGAAGTCAAGAGGATATTCATCTCAGAAATGGTGTAAATATAACAATCGAGATGAGAACAACAGTTTGGAAAAGTGTAAATAATAACACCTTCTTATGTAAGAAACATTGGTATATGGAAACCAAGAATTGAACTATGTTGCAGCTCTTAGGTACAGTTTCAACACTTAAAAAAAGAAAGAAAGGATAAACTATAATCTAAAAGCGGCATTTACTCCTAATTCTTTGCTGGCCGAACAGACGTTACAAGAAAAGAAAATGAAAAAAAAAAACATCATTTTTTTGTTTGTTCAAATTAGCTAAAACAGTTCGAAATTATTTCAGGATATAAAAAAAATTGAGGTATGGAAAGGATTAAATGTTATGTATAAACGCTTGAAATTATAAAAATCTATATTGGAACTATCGAACAAACTGATTAGGCAACATTTTTAGGGTTCTTGCCGTAGAGGGTTAGTTAGCATGCTAGTTGCGTAAGTCACTTGATAATGCGTTTGATGCGCGCGTAGAGCACACTAAGCTTAGTCAATTAAAAAAAATACATATAGAGATGTTTAAGAAACATTTGCCGATCGAAGCATCAGCCTTAACGGTGTGTTGGTGGCAGTCTTAAAAAAAAAACCCAAAACACCGTTAGGATGGTTGACCCCACTTCATTCCCGATCACAAGAAAAAAAAAAATGAAGTAATATCGGCCACACCAGAAACGCTGCAGTTTCTCCGAAAACAAAATAAGTTGAATATGTAGACGCATCTGCCAACATCTTTGGCTAAATAAGTTAACCATCATCATGGACAGTTTTGACTCCCCCAGGGACATCAAAGAGCGTCCAAGTCAACGTTTAGCGCACCATTGCCGAAAGAAAGTAAAAAGTTCGTTTGAAAAGATCACAAGACTTGTGGAAGCTGCAATGAGAAGGCAAGTCATATCATGGGAGTGTGCATTGCGTTGTTTATTAGCAAAGAAGATTATTTGACACATTGGCTCTTTGAGGATCAGTTTCATCTTGATTTATGGTCGGTCCCTGCGTAAAATACTGCAGCGCACAGTCACCCAGGCTTCAGTTAAAGAAATGAAATCGAGCAACTAGGAGTGCCTGTTAAAGTTTCTGAGACACACAAAAATGAGGTGGGGGTGATTTACTCTTCTTTTTCTATGTGCCGTGTCCCTTCAGGACGTTGGGGATCATGGGTCTCCACAATTTTCTGTTCTTTGTAGCTCTTTGTGTCTTTTTGTCATCTTTCCCTAAAACTACTCCGTCATCCATTCGCTCAAGGTTTCCAGGTAGGTTGTGCGTTGTTTGAAGCAAACAAAGAAAAATGTACTGAACTGTAACATAATATCAGTCCTCCTATATGGCAATGGATGCTAGACAATCTCCTCACAGATAAAGAAGAAACTTGAAACAACAGAAATGTGGTTCTACAGAAGGATGGTGAGAATACCATGGACCGAACATGTGAGCAGCGACGAAGTTTGAAAGACAATGGCAACAAAAAGGAAACTTATGCTTAACATCAGGAAGAGTTAGTTGAAATTTCTGGGGCATATAATGAAGAAAGAGGGCTTGGAAAAACTGCTACTCACATGACAGATTGAAGGTAAGTGGGCCAGAGGAAAATAACGCACAACGAAAACTGCCGTTGGAGCATAAAAAAAAATCGATTATTTCCACTATCGATGGGAGTGGGGAAATGCAAAAGTCGGTCTTGGCCTTCCCGCTAACTTGGAGCATGTGCATGTAAATTTTGGTGCAAATCCGTCGAAAATTGCGGCCGTGCATTCGTTACACATACTGACTTTTTATATATATATATATATATATATATATATATATATATATATATATATATATATATATATATATATATATATATATATAATGTCATATTTATTA